TCTTTAGTTCACAGCCTTCCATGATGCACAGCAAGCAGGCCCTGATCACATGACCTCAGGGACCTGCTGGGGTTGTATGGATGTAAAAGTTCACCGAATGTGCTGGTGCTTGTAAGTCAAAACCAAAATCTTAAGTTAAGTAGACTCTGAAGTTAATGGAGAGCAAGTGCAGCTAAATTTACAAGCCAAGATCATGCTAAATACACTCATCTCTGTCACTTAGAACAGCTTTGGTCATTTCAGGTTAATTCCTGTATTTGTGTTTAGATTCTTGCTTGTCTGGCTGGTTTCAAGTGAAATCTACTCGGTTAATAAACTATAAGACTGCATACTTCTTTATGTATAGTAAACTGAATTTGATGTGATTTGTTGGAGTTATTTACTTAGTTGCAGGCCGACTGCCACATCTGCAGAACCTTCATCTGACCCCAGCATGCTTCAGTTTTTGATTGTTGCTCAGTATTCAGTGTTATAGATAAATACTGGAGATTACAAACCAAGTCTTCAGGGGCTTTAAGTACTGAGAATACACCTCATGTTGAAACAGTGGAGAGTTTAATCCCTGCTACAAATTTCCCATGTGGAGCATTTCTAGGTTATATTTCATACTCAGTGCACTGACATGCCTTGACCATGATTTTATTTTCCAACTGAGCAAAGATTATTCTGGACAGTTGTTCTGGACAATTAACCTTGTTTTACCCACACCAGCCTGATTACCGAAAGTCAAGAGATCTGGACACGCAGTCACGCAACTGTCTGACCCTGTCAGGCCCCTCCCCTCCCCATCCTGCCTGCCTCTCTCATAATCAGTTGCATCCTGCTGCCTCTTGGAGGAAGGAATGTGACACAGAATGAAGCGCTCCATACACAAACTCCAGGATGAGTTATTTCAGTTAGAGTGCACGTCGTTAAGTTTGAATTTATCAGCTCCCATTGCCCAAATGTTTGTTTGGCTTTGTTTTAAAATATAAATGACGATAGTTTTGTAGGATATTTAAAAACCTGAGTTTTACAATATTCCCTTTAAAATAATGCTAACATCTATAAATCAAAATGCATTTTTACTGTACGTGTGATGTCCTCCTTTTCTGCTGCTGCTGCTCCAAACATTATCAAACAAAGCTCTGACAATAATGCTTTGATGAGTGGAGAGTAATTACTCGTGTGCTTTATTCAAATTGGATGTATGTTGACATTTTGAGTCTGTTCAGAGAAATAACCCACTTCAGATGAGCATTAATCTGATTAAGAGCACAATTTATTTGGGTTTCCGTGCTCAATAGAAACCCTTCCTGCGCTGCTCACGGCCTGCCAATAGACCAGAAGAGCCTAACCACTATGAATGGCCAACAGCTGTGTATATAGAGGGAGCACATTTCCCCTCGCGCTGAGGAAATAAAACACCCTGTTTCAGGTAAACACTGAGTCAGAGCTCACACAGCATACACATATGTGCAAGGACAGCATTTTAAATTTGCATGCATTATGTAATATTAAAAATGTGTTGCTTATGAGAATTGGTGAATGTCGCTATATTTGAATATGTACAATAGGTTGTCATTATATTTACAGTCTGTATGTTTTATGTTTCTACTAATTTATCTAATTGAGCCCCTAAGTGGGTAATGCCACTTCAGTTTCTCTCAAAATGAGATGGTTTTAGGGGACAAACATTTGGTGCCAAGGCGCTTTGCTTGTGTGGAAACTTTTTAACACCGGCTGCAGTTCAAGCACGGAGCATGTCATAAATTATCTCCATACAATTTCCACTTGTAAAACATTTTTACTCACTGCATCTGCTTGTAGCCGTGTTTGCCTGGTGAAACATTATACTTTTGTGACAATATTTCAATATCTATCTCACTCTCTTATCCATTAAAAGAAGACTTCTAATTCCAGTCTAAAAAGAAATATTGCACTGTGAATTCAAAATTAATTAAAAAAAAAAGAATTTTATCACCACAGGTTTCAGGTCAAGAAAATGTAAAGCTGTAATACTGGCAGTAAAGATGTCTCCTCTAAACTGGCAGCCCCCAAACCTCAATTCATAAACCTGTCTTGAGATTATGTGTATGGTTGAGACACACAGTCTAACTACTTGGCCAGCTAAGCAATGGAAACAGTTCCTGCATGAGTATATTCTCACCGTTGATGGTGCATTTGAGAGAGCTAATGCACTAGCCTCGGTATGGTTAATACATTTCTATGAAACAACAATCAGAAACACATAGCCCCGCCATTCCTTATTTGGTTTGTCCCCTGGCGCATGCTAGCTTTCTCACAGCATTTCTTGGGAGTTTATCCATTATGCAAAGTAAAAATGCAAGAATATATTCAAAGCATAACAAACAGTTTGTGTTTGTGCTCCCGTTTTAAACTTGAAACCCTAAAATCTGCATCCAAGATTCCACAAAGGCTGCGTCAGTGCAACCATAGTGGTGCAATTTGGATAAATGGTGAAGATGAAAGCAGAATTACGTTTTTACATGCCTTCCAGACTGCTTGCACATTTTTCTAAAAGCACCAATGTCTGGGTGTGTAATTACACACCAAATGCTGTTTTTTGGGTTTTTTTTTGGCTTTTTGTTTTTTTTAATGGAAGTATGTGTCGGCACACAAACATTAGTCCCGACTCAAAGTAGGCACAGGATACGCCCATGAAAGAGCTCTTGCTCAGGAGCTGCTGATGACAACAGCAGTATCAGAATAATCAACGACTTTGAATTAGTGATTCCTAGCTTAGTTGGTTTAATGAAACATGATATGCCTTATGAAATGTATTTCCCCTTGTCACAAGTTTAATATGTGTGATGTATTGAGCTAATATGAGCTCCCTTCCTCAAACTGTGTAGTAACTTAAAACACATAAAACCTTGGAAAAAGACATTTTTAAGAACTGTCTTGACTGTTTTTGTTCCTTTCATTCTTCTCCCTTGTCTACCTCCATTAAAGCTGATATAAGAGAACATCAAATAGTCATCTTTTAAGAGCCCATTAAAACCAAATAATCAAAATTATCATGTCAATTCAATTCTATCGTATTCCATAAATAAATTATTATTCCAAAAAATAGTTAATTATTACTTAAGTAAATGTGTTCAAATTGTATCTATGGTACCTTTAAGGGACACATTCACATACATTAGTTACATGAGTTTTTCTGTTTTATGCCATTATTTTTGCCACATTTCAGCAGGAAGTATAGACTTTACTCTATTGATTTCACAATGATCCAAAAAAAAAGAAAAGAAAAAAAATACAAATATTAAACCATTTGATTGTTTAAGGATTAACTGCCCAATATTAGATGAAAATATTTTTTAAAAAATAACACTAAGATATATATTTTTTACACATTAATGAATCAGTGCGAAGCTGCTATTTTATATATAT